ATAGAAGCTCAAAAACTCAATCACCATGCCTGATGCACAGGCCCCTTCACCGTCCCCGAGCCTCCCTCTACTCCTTCAGTGAATGCCATTTCACGGGCCCAGGGGACCTTGGAGTTCAGCTTCACTGCTAGTCATTTCCTTTTTCAATTCCCACATCTACAAAGTCACCATGACATCTAGCATTTATAACAGCTTAAAAAAATTCACTGATTACTGCAACAACTTTCATAGTGCCTTTCCTGGGAAAACTTTCTATTATTCCTATCAAGTGGCTGCAAATTAACATATCCACCTACAAAAAAAGGAGTAAGTATAAATGAGGCAGATGAGTGCTTTTTACCAACATCATTTCAGAAATAGGAAACAAAACTTGATATTCTAAATTTCATTAGGGTATGTATTAAAAAATGATGGTAATCAAGGATTTCTTTCAAGTATTTCTTGTAATTTCTCGGGACAGATGCTGTAAGAAGGGAACAGACTAATAAGTATGGATAACTGGAACAGCATGAGGGGGTGCTAGCTAAGGGGGAGGTTGTTACTACTCTATGAAATACTACACACGGTTTATCTAGTTTTCAAATTGAAGCTAGTCACTATATTATTTTGGATTCCAACATCATCAATTTCTTCTAAAGTCCTGGGAAAATGTCAGTATTTATGATCAAACTGACCTTTTTATACTCTGCTCTTAGCAAGGGAGGCACTGGGAACTCCAGTTCATTGGGCACTCTCAGAGCCTCTGCCATTACAAGTGGTTTTACAACCATCTCTCCTGGTGACACAAACAGGGTTCACATCCCTCAGGGTACACATCCCTAGAGGGAGAAGTGGTAAGAGAAATATCTAATTTGCCTCAACTCAATCACCTTGTAGTAGATAAGAAGCCCCTCACCTTTTCAGGATCCAGCTGATGAAGGACAGAACTTATCCATGAGTAATTTGCTACCAAAAAAAAAAAAAAAAAAAAGGCTTTTGGTATCTAAATCTCCAGTGTATCACAAACTTCCTGTTATTACCTAATAACAACCCCCAACTCAGCCATCACTGTTTCCATGGTAACTGACGGAGAAATAGCAGCCTGCCAAATGGCTTTTGTAGTTCCCCATCCAGCTTGTTTTTCAGTATAGAATTAAAGCTAGCTGGGCAAAGGACCAGACTAATCTTTACAACAGGGATACGATGCAGTTTGAAAAGTACAACTGCATTTAGGACAAGGAGTGCAGAAAAGCTTTAACAAACTCAGCTTGCTGGGATAAAAAAGGTTCTTGGTTTCTAAAAAATGTCTACTGAGGTATATTTGGTAAGGTTTACTTTTGTCTTAAGATGGTATATCCTGACACTGGCAAGTAAGTAGATAGATAGAAGTGTGCTATTCACTCAGTCTTTAACTGAATTAACAAAAGGGATGGGGTGAATGGAAGAGCAAGATCCGGCTAGTTTACTATGCCCCAAGGACCTTATTATCATTAAAGGAAACAAAAACCTACTCCACAATCACAATGAATGGGCAGGACAGTGAAGAAGGATGGACATCTTGGAGGAGAGAAATGTGTAATCCCAGGGATGATGCAAGCATGAAACTGACAGCCAACTGCATGAATCAGAGGGGCACTGATGCTTAGGAAACAAAGATCTCCTTACCATCTCAGCACAGGCAGAGATTGTTAGGACGACAATGTGAGGAACTGGAACAGCTTTCAGAAGATCAGCAGCTACAGAGATATGCTTAAGGTGCCAGACCAAAACAAACAGCTGCTGCAGGGGTGGAGGAGTGTGAACGTAAAAAAGAAAGACTATATCTCTTTGAAAGTACTCCATAATTTAAACAGATGCCTCTCTGTCTTAACATTGCATATTTGAATGAAGTGCAGGAAATCTCATGATTCTTCTATGTCAGTTTCAGATGAGAAACTGACTCAAGTCGAACAGCTATTAGCTTCTTTCTGATAGGCTAAAACAAACTGGATTTTGAAAGAGATTCATCTGACAGCTTCTAGCGCACTCTGAATGTCTTGGTGACAGGCAGGAAAATTACAATCTATAGTGCCATACAAAGACAGGTGCCTAAGAGCTACAGAAAGTCAGACTCCTACAAATTCCACACAGCAGACTCACCCAATTTATGCTTTTAAATTTATGTTTTACCTGAGGTTGTATGAGTCATGAGTCATGTTCTCAGCGCTATCACTGGAGTGTGGAAAGAAAGTAGACAAAGACTTGCAATAACCATTTCCTTTCGATCCTTCAGAAAGCTATCATTTTAATAGGAGGAAGACAATGCGCTCTAGATGCATTGCAGGCTATCAACTAAAGAAAGGCTTTTGCACTTCTAGTTTTGCTGGATTTGCAGAGCCCTAGATTTTTATTTGTTAAAGAAACTGGCAGGAGTTCTTGAAAAAGTTTAAACGTGGGTCCTATAGGTTCGGGGGGTGGGGAGTGGGGGATTCATTTACAAACAGTATTCACTTATGCGTGATCATAATTTAAATATATTAACATTTAACTTCCCCATCTTAAACAAAAGCCAGAATTGAAGAAATAGACAATTGCATCAAGTTCAATCATAGCTAAGACTATGTAGGAGGAAGCCAAACTTATTAGAGTCAATAACCTGACGTACTGACACACTTATATTTCTTCCCAAACCTGTTTCCTTTGCCAACATTATTTCAAGATCTCAGGCAAATTTTCTTGCTTATTAGATCTGTATTTTTATCAACTCAGCTACCATAGTTACAGTGCAGATTCCCTTGCTACTGGCAGACAACTAAAGGGACTTCACCACATTGTTAGTGTTTCATGACCTGTACTTTCCCTCACGTTCATCAAACAGACTCCAAATGCCTTGAGGAGAGAGGGCTTCAGTGTGAGCAGTCTCTCTCTTTAACAGGTGTTGTTCCAAGCGGTTGCCCTGAGAAACAGTGCTATGTGACAGCTATATTCCCCACCCACGCATTAACCTATAACATAACTGAAGTATGTTACCAAGAAACAGCTCTTGAACACCATGAATGTTTTCTATCAGTAAATGAAGACCTTCAGCTTCCTGGAGGCGAAAAGGAATGGGGATATTCTGGGCACAAGAACATTATTAATGCTTAATAGTAGCTGGAGACTGCTTATACAGTAAAACTAATTATCCACAAGTAATGCTTTGGGAACTCTAAAACTTCAATCTATAAAGAGGCCAAAAACGTTTTTAAAAGGGGATGATGGTAAATGTACGGGTGTAAAGAAACAGTAACTGAATACGTAAATACTTGGGAACAAAGAAAATAACTGTGAAGAACTAGACACTAGGATTATAGTAAAGATTATGTTGGACATATTACAGCTTTTTGCCAATTGGAAGGAAGGAGGGATGACCCCGGGGGGAAGGCACAGCACTAGTGTGTGCTGGATTATGACCTCCAATGGGGAGGATCACTTCATCTTTTTCGTAGCGACAGCCCTGCGCCCAGGACCACACTCAGCACATAGCTGGTGTTCCACATGACTGGCCTGAGAAGAGGGTCTGAATTAACAAATGAGACGTGGTGTTTCTCTGTCACTCATGTAACAGGAGTCTTACTAAGGGCAGGATGAATTCTTCGCATGTGTGCACTTGGGATGTAACTGAGTGGAAGCCTCTGTAGAAAAGCATAGGCAGACCTAAAAGGAAAACGGCAAAGGCTGGGCAGTCTGCTTCTCGAATGGTATTCCCTGGTACAAGAGAAGGCCGACTGCCAATCAGAGTGTGAAGGCTACTCAAAGTGCTTAGAGAGCAGGTTCACCCAATAACTAACTCAATGGCAACTGACAATCCCCCGCTAACATTGATCGGTTTCTGTGTAAACAAAGTAAAGAAAACCTAAATCAATGGGAATTATACATACAAAAGGTACTTAATGGCATAAATGTAAAATAACACCTTATGCTTCAAAATACTGTGCTGGGAAACCCAAACACATGTCAGGAAACAGTCCAGTCCATTAACCGCATTCTCAGAGGAGATGTCTGATGAAGGACAGACACAAGCATTGCTTGATTAACAGTAACTATGAGGTCTGGATCAAGTCATATTCAGGACAGCCTTGCAGGCCCTTCTACACCGCCTGGGTCTGGTTCAATGTTGTAAAAGGAATGAACGGGAACCTTGGTTAGAAAAAGACACAAACTCTGGAAATAAGATAATTTGGTAGAGATTTGTTTTTTTTCTTAGAGTTTCTACTATCTTTCTATCTACCTTAGTCCTAAGCGTCTATACTTAAAAAAAAAAAATTAACAGCCTCGTATTACTCTATGTTATATAATACAAGAGCTGGGATGGAAAAATGAAATTACTGAATAGTCAGTTTAGTCACTGCTTTTCTATCTGAACTTGGACAGACCACCACCACCTCCAATATCTGGCTTGAACTTCCTCTCTGAAGGAATGGCAGGTGCATCCGGATTCCGGGAGAAGGCTAAGGAGGCAATGCGGATGCACGTGATGCTCCCTCACAGGGAAGAGGCAACAGTGCCATGAAGAACCCTCCTTCCTTTCCCTTCTCGCCCCCTCTAGCTTGGGCCATCTCTTTATAAGTCCTCCTTTATAGCATTTACCATCATTGTAATTATGTGGGTAATTAGTAATATCTGTCTATCCCGTCTCCAGGAGGACAGGGGCTGTGCCTGTCCTTTCCACCAAGGACAAATTTTCTTACTTATTAGATCTGTATTTTTATCAAATTAGTTCCCATAGTTACAGTGCAGATCCCTTTGCTACTGGCAGACAACTAAAGGGACTTTACCAGCACCTGGCACAGGGCAGGCAGTGGCGGGTAGAAAAGTAAATGAGCAAATGGGCACTTCAGAAGTCAAAAGTTAACCATGGGGTAAGCAATCAGTTCAAAATGTTTCATCAGCAAATCACACACATCTATCCTCTAAATGTGAAAACAGGAGCACTGTTTTTTTCACAGAATAACTGGAGGCAGGAAGAACATAAAAGTTAAAAAACAAAAAAGAGTACTCACTGGCGGGGGCTTCTTTCTCATCTCAAAAGTGCGCGTGGCACCAAAACTGAGAGAAGCAATGACCGGGCACCTCCCTAGTGAGGGTTCATCATCGCTGTGCCAGTCCACACTGTCCTTCTCATTGCGGTAAAGGTTGCAGAGCAAGGAGTTGAAGGTGTGGCCCGTGTTCTCCTCAATTTGGTTCTTAAGTGTGCGCAGCACAGGGTGCCACTGCAGTCGCCAGGCCAAGGAAAGGAGCAGAGAGCCACATGGAAAAACAGAAAGAAAATGCAAAATCAGTCGCATTTTATACACAGGAGCATGGAATAAGCAAACCACTTGGAATGAAATAGACAGAAGGCAGGAAGAGTAGTTTAATTCCCATCCGTTATTTCTATTTTGAAGCAAGTTAACCTCTGCAATTTTATTAAGGTACTAAACTTAGTATAACAACTCTAGGAGGACCAGGCCTATCTACCCATCTCATCCTTTCCATGTTAAATACATGACCCTCAGAAAGAAGAACTGTCCATTCAAGGCAGTCACTCTGGTTGTCAATAAGGTGGGAAGTGGAGCAGTGAGCCTGGTTTGCACCACAGTTGATGGGCTGCCAGGTAGATAGCAAACACAGACTAAAGTGTGAGGAGCGAAACAACTTTCTTGCTGGGTGGCCCTCTGTCCATCCTATTCCTATTTTATTGTGAATGGCAGAATTGCTTTAAAAAATATTTAATATTTCCAGAGTGGCTAGTTTCCTAGAAACTCAACCTAATGGGGGAAAATACTCTTTTCTACAGGATGAAATTATGACAGTCTTAATAAGTGTACAGTCTGTGAACTAGAGAAGATTTAAACAGATCCACAGCCCTGCCTCCTGAGCACCAAGTTCATTATGTAGTTTATACTTTAGAAATCACAATCTACACTACAGGAAGCTATGACCCCTGACCTTAGGTTGTACTTTGGAGCTATAAGCAGCATAGCTTGTACTGATTCTTGTTAAAATTCTATGTCTTCCTCCAAGAAAATGCAATGCTTTACAGAGCTTCTTTTAGGACAGTGGTTGCACTATCAAAACCTACTGAGGACCCCACAGACCTTCTGTTTATATGGGTTATGGCTATGAGATTTGCCATGTTAAAAATTATAGCTGAAAAAATTTTTTAGCTATTGGTTAATTCATTTAAAAAATAGCAAACTCTGTTAAAGACACTATAGCTATAACCGGTTTGGCTCAGTGGATAGAACGTTGGCTTGCGGACTGAAGGGTCCCAGGTTTGATTCCGGTCAAGGGCATGTACCTTGGTTGTGGGCACATCCCCAGTAGGAGGTGTGCAGGAGGCAGCTGATCAATGTTTCTCTCTCATCCGATGTTTCTAACTCTCTCTCTCTCTTCCTCTCTGTAAAAAAATCAATAAAATATATTTTTTTTAAAAGAAAAAATAGCAAACTCATTACATGTTAACAAAATAATGTTTTATGAGAAATAACTATATTTTCTAATACAAACAATGGGTGAGAAGAGCAGCACCGCTTTGCAAAGCTTTTTTAATGTCTGGCTTAACTGAAGCCAACTGACTGTCAGATCTGCTTCTGTATTCAATCTGTTACTGTATGTTGTTTTTGCTGAAGTATGTGAAGAAAATTGCCTTCACACAGATATGTGGTCAGAAAATAGAGTCTTTTATAGCCTTTTCAAATAATTACAGATAGTTTTGATATCACACCAAAATTCAACAAGCCCTGATTTCTAAAGGTTAGTTGCAATGTGGAATCTGAAACTGTATGAACAAACTTTTCATATTGTTATATTTAAATCATTGGTCCATGCTGCATTTCGAATGGATCTTTTAATCCTTTTTACTTCTATAACAACTAGGAAATACTGGTTCACTGAGTTATACAGATCTTCTAACTGTTGACACATTTCATTATATAATATCAAAAAAATCACATCCATTAACTTTACCATGGATCTCATCAGAAAAGGCAAAGTAATGAGAAGAGGTCAGGCTCAAGGTGGCAGTTATGAGTTTTTCCAAAATGCTAATTTTTGCTTGAAAATGCAACCTTTATCATTAGTAATAAATCCTGCTGTTTTCCCTGAAGTGACACTTCATTCATTTTTTGAAATATGTCTGCCAAATACTGAAGTGTGAATAACTATAGTTTGTCTGCTAGTTGATATTTCAAAGAAAAAATGGTCCATAAAAAAGTAGCCAGTTCAGCTTATGGCTTACACAGTCACACACTTGTTTTTCTTTTTTTAAAAAATATATCTTTATTGATTTTTTACAGAGAGGAAGGGAGGGATAGAGAGTTAGAAACATCGATGAGAGAGAAACATCGATCAGCTGCCTCCTGCACACCCCCCACTGGGGATGTACCTGCAACCAAGGTACATGCCCTTGACCAGAATCGAACCTAAGACCCTTCAGTCTGCAGGCCGACGCTCTATCCACTGAACCAAACCAGTTAGGGCAACACACTTGTTTTTTCTTGATAACCACCATCCTGGGCCTGTATCAGGATGCTTTGCACATACTTTCCATTTCCTCAAACTATTAAAAAGATTGAGATTTCATAAAACTAATGTTTACTGCTTTATCCAGGGATGTTCTTAAAGGAAACCAGCATTTTTTTAAAAAAACTGGAAGTGCACAAATGTAAATACAATGGTTATTAGTACAGTTCGATGACAATGCTTGGTTCAAACTAAGTTATATCCATCATTACTTTTTTTATTCACCATCAGTGCAAATTCAACACAGTAAAAATGTCACCATCTTAGTATTACTATAAAAATAGTTTGACCTTGTGGATTTCCAAAGAGGATTTCGTGGCCCTCCTCCAGGGTCCATAGATTGTACTGTAAGAACTGATACGTTACAGAAACCCTTCAAAGTCCATGTTTGAGGTTTGGTAGAGAAGGAATGAATGTTCAGCAAAGGAAAGCATAATAACAATGTTATTATATTATTATTATTATTATTATTATTATTATTATGTATATCCCATGGCTACTGTCAGGTAAAACTGCCAGAGAAGCATATGGGGGAATCATTCAGCTTTGCTGTGATAGGGAAACCATAGCAAAAGCTGGGATTCCTTGTTATGAATGTTAGCATTGCATTCTAACAGAGGATTTTTAAAGATAAACAGTGATAAGAACAAAACTTAGATCAATAAAACAGAAATCTTATTAAATTACCCTATATTCAAGAGAATAATTTTCAAAGTGAAATTCCATAACAACGTTAGCAAGCCATATTTCCTATTTATTTTATAGCTTTAAGCTTAACTTCATGGAGATAAAGATCAGATGCTAGAATTATACTCAACAAGAAAAACCAGAATGTAACGAAGGAAGATAGCTTTTCTGCCATGTGACTGAGAAACCAATTAGCACTTCCCTGACTTGCTTCAGGACTGAGCACTGTAATAACACCAGGTTTGCATTATGTTTCTAAGTGGCTATGTATTTTTTCTTGGTTATTTTTGGTGGTGAAGTAAGGAGAAAAGGAGAAAAAGGGGGATAATGAACTAGAGGATTAATTTAGACTCTCCACCCAATACTCTATATACAGATCCCTCAGAGCTGAATGTCTAAATTAAAATTCAGCGTCATCTCACTGTGCAGTGAAGCCATGCTATCCTTAAAAGACATTTGAGGAGAAGAGTCTGAGAAAATATGAATTGCAGAAGTGAAAGGACCCATTCAGTGGATTTCAAACAGTGTTTTGTACAGTCCTAGGTACCTCAGAGGTGCCTCTGGGATTACCACAGGGGAAAGGAGAGGCCAAGTAGTGGGACTCCAAGCAGCTAAGGCACTCTGCTACTTCCATAGTTGGGTTCATATGAGATTTAGTTTGAGCAAAGACTAAAAGAAGTTTAATAACCTATGATTGAACTGCTCCTGTGTTACACGATATTAAGCTTGAGATAATTATTTTAAAATCAAACAAGTATCCCCAATACACACATATATACACATTAGTGAATCCCCCTTAAAAAATATGAGAAATGCCCTGGTCTAGTGGTTCAATTGGTTGGAGCACTGTCTCATACACCAAAAGGTTATGGGTTTGATAAGGACACATATGTAATACCTTAATCAATTTTAAAAAAAAAGGTTATGGGTTTGATTCCCGGTCAGGACACACACCTAGGTTTTGGGTTTGATCCCCAGTAGGGGTGCGTATAGGAAGTGACCAATGGATGTTTATCTCTCACATCTGTGCTTCTCTCTCTCTTCTTTCCTCTCTTTGAAATCAATAAAAGCATTTTTTTAAAGCAACAATGAATGCATAAATGAGTGGAACAACAAATCAATGTTTCTCTGTCTCTCTCTCTAAAATCAATTTTAAAAAAAGAATAAAATCTTACCATTTGCAATAGAATGAATGGACCTAGAGGGTCTTATGCTGAGTGAAATATGTCAGTCAGAAAAAGACAAATACCATATGATTCCACTTACATGTGGAATCTAAAGAACAAACTAAACAATAAAAATAGAAACAGACTCACAGATACAGGGAAAAGACTGATGGATGGTTGCCAGAGGGACAGGGGTTGGAGGACTGAGTAAAAAAGGTGAAGGGACTAGAACTATAAATTTGTAGTCACAAAACAGTCCCAGGGATGCAAGGTACAACGTAGGGTATATAGTCAACAGTGTTGTAGTAACTACATATGATGCCAGGTGGGTACTTGAAATATTGGGGTATAACCTTATAAAGTACATGACTATCTGACCAGAATGCTGTATAGCTGAAACTAATACAAAATAAATAATACTGGCCGAAACCAGTTTGGCTCAGTGGATAGAGCGTCGGCCTGTGGACTGAAGGGTCCCAGGTTCGATTCCAGTCAGGGGCGTGTACCTGGGTTGCGGGCACTTCCCTAGTGGGGGATGTGCAGGAGGCAGCTGATCGATGTTTCTCTCTCATCGATGTTTCTAACTCTCTATCTCTCTCCCTTCCTCTCTGTAAAAAATCAATAAAATATATTTTAAATAAATAAATAAATAATACTGAATGTAAACTGTAACTAAAAAACAAAATTTAAATTACAAGAAAGAAATGAAGTATACATAATTTATTGTATTCTTTTCATATATTTGCCTAAAATGAAATAAAGAGACTGGAACCAAAACATCAGGTGGAAGAATTACCCAAAATTTTGGTATTCTTCATGTTTATCTGCAGTTTCTAAAATTTCAATAATACATACTTATTACTTACATTATAATAAAAGGATTGTCATTAAAAGAAATACCCTTTAAGAGTTGTCAAAATGTCCTCCAAGCAGATCTTATGTGCCTTATGTTTATTCTAAAGCAGTGGTTCTCAACCAGGGGCAGTTTTGCCCCTCAGCAGATGTTTGGTCAAGTCTGGAGTCATTTTTGGTTGTCACGGTGTGGTGACAGTGCTTCTGGCATTCAGTGAGCAGAAGTCAGATTAACTGCTAAACACCCTACAATGCCCAGCACAGCCCCAACAACGAAGAATTAACCAGCCCCAAAGCAGTAATACTTAGGTTGAGGAATCCTGTTCTAAAGGATTAACTAGAATAAATGAGGAGCTTCTCCCCCACAGCCTGCTGAATCCTCAGCTTCTCTGCTGTGACTGCTGACAAAAAGGTACATTAATTCGGACAGGAACATGCAGCAGTCTATGCTGGGTTGGCCTAGTTCCATTCTCTTGTTTCCAAACCAAGCTCAGATATAAGGTCTCAACACCTCCCTGGATCACATTCTAGATGCAGCCCAGAAACAAAGCGCAGAGCTCTCTCCTTACGTAAAAAAGCCACGACCCCACACCAATGTTTTACCCACGAACATTTTAGCACAGGGATAGTTTATAATTATAAATTATGGGAAGCTCTGAAGTGTGTCATGTCACATTTCTGTTTATCCCAATGTCGTAAGCAAACTCCATTTTCTTCAAAGTCTCTTGCCATAAAGCATAACATTATCTGCCAAAGGCAAGATTCCAGGGACTAAACAAGGAGCTGTTTCTTGGATCTCAACTCCATCCTCTGGACAAGCTTAATTTATATACTAGCATCTCTTTGTCTGTCACGGAAATTTTTAGAAACAAGCCAAAGCAATAAGTTGAGGTCTAAGAAGAAATCCAAAGTCAACAAGAAAAACACCAATGTTTTCCACAAATGACAACACAGCCTGAAAAATGAAGAGACATTCTGACCTCGTTGGCCAGCCATAAGGACTCTGGGCTCACAGCAAATGTGTCCCAGGGTATGCACAGAGGGCTGCAGCCAGAAAGGCTTGGGGAACAGGGAGACAGGAGAAGAAGTGGTTCATTTTCCTGAAATCCAGGAGTCTGATCCCATTTTACTTCAGTTCCACATTTTCTCACCAATGACGGTGCACACACAGACTCAGTGTTTGAACCCAGAGGGTTTTTGAACTAGGAACCATCATGCAGCTCTGTAAGGTGTTTTATTGATCTTTTCTAGTACTCTATAGTTATGTAAAGAAATACAACAGCAATGTTCCAACATACGTGAGGATTTGGTTCCATAGTGATTCTGGAGTAAGTGTAAGGAAGTTCTCCATACCATGCTGTGAGTCTTGGTTGCTGGTAAGTTACATCTGAGAAAGAAAATACAGGGCCTTTGAAATGGTTTAATGCTATTTAAGGTGTACCTACTGAGTGCTAACCACAATGTGCAAAAAGCAATGAGAAATACAAAGGCAGAGCAAGGACGGGCTCTGATCCAGGCTCCGCCTTCACAGAGAACATGTGATTTCAAGACGAGAAGAGGTGTTGGCAGAAACAATCTGAGCAAACTATGAGGTGAGAACGTGTGACTTGGTTGTGTCAGACACAAATAAGAATGAAGAAGTCACCAAGAGACAAGGAGGATCTAAAAAGTAGGACCCAGAGTCTGAAGCCTTGTAGGTAGGAATTTGTGGCACCAACATCACTACAAAAAAACAGGACAGGCCCTGGCTGGGGTGGCTCAGTTGGCTGAGCATTGTCCTGTGCACCAAAAAAGTCACCAGTTCAATTTCCAGTCAGGGCACAAGCCCAGGTTGTGGGTTCAGTCCCCAGTATGGGTGCCTCTAGGAGGCAACCAATTGCTGTTTCTTTCTCCCTCTCCCTTCCTCTCTCTCTCAAATCAATAAAAATATGTATTTTTTAAAAGAAACAAGACAAACCATTTACCTATGTGCCACCACCATATAAGCCCCTTTGATTCTGAACAAAGAAAAACATACTCTGACCAACTACACAGCATGCAGCTGATTTTACAAGTTTTTTATGTCCAATTTAGTTAGAAAGGGAGTTATTCATAAATTTATTTCCCCCTGCAATTGATATCAACTACTACAACAGTAAGAACAATAATAGGCCGAAACCGGTTTGGCTCAGTGGATAGAGCGTCGGCCTGCGGACTGAAGG